TGTGTGCATCCACAGCCCAGCCTCCATGCCATCTGTACTAGTGTATCATTAGTAAATGCACTGATACTGAGAGAAAAATATCCTTCTGCTGACAGCTGGCTTCACGAAACTGTAGAACATGGAAACAAATGGAAAACCTGATCTTGTAGTTAAGCACCTGCCCATGAGTTCAGAAGTGCTGTTGAAGCAGTATTTTGTGGTCACAGTAAGTATTTATGGTGCAGAAAATTTTCTGTGCACGTTAAACTGAATTGCTCCAGGAAATAAATAAATAAATAAATAAATAAATAGATAAATAAAGAATAATATCAAGAGATCCCTTCCAGAAAGCATTTTTTTCCTCACTATAGTGAAATTTCAGGCATTTGAAACAAATATTTTTCAAAACATCACACCTACAAAAATTTCGTAATGTGGTATAGAAACAGGTTCAGTTTTAACTATGGAATGAAATGGAAAAAAATTAAGTATAAATTGTGAAATATTTCCAGGAGAGCTACTGCTCTAGATTAAAGATGGCTTTAATTACAATATTTTTATACAAAATATTCCTACAGATGCAATTGCTGAAGTAGGTAACTTCTAAAAAATAAAATTAATACTCTTGGTAACATTTTCATTTGGAAAAACATTTTTAAAATATGTGAGCAACATTAAATGGTATTTTTACTCATCAACCTAAACCACAGGCTTAGCCTTTTTTACCAGCAGTTGCTATTTTTAATGAACCTGTTAAGAAAAACACTCAGATACTGTAAATTATTGCTTAAAATGACATTTTTTAGAGCTAAAACTATAAAAGGAATCCTGGACTGAGTGGCAATGCCGAGGCATCCAATGATGGCACAGAATACCATGCAGATATTGTCCATGGAAAGGTTTTTTCATTTCAGTCATTCAACTTCTTACAGGATATTCTTAAAACAGCTCTGGTAGTAACTTTAAGTAAAAGGGATGTTCATATGAGAATTTCTGGCTGCAGTTTTGGATGAAGGTGAAGATGTCCACATGAACTGAAATGTGGATCACCGCCTCTTTCATGTACAGCAGTCTTCTGATCATGACTCTTTCAACTAACAATAATATATCTAGAATCCAAGGCAATATTGTTCCTAGTCTCTATGAAAATTAAACCAGCCCATATTCGCAAAATTGACAGTAGGTGAGCATCATGGTACATGATAAATTTGTCTAAGTTGCAAATACAAGAACAGATCTTGAGAGTACCTTTGAGTTATCCAAGGCTGCTGTAAATAAACAGCATGTGTCTGATATAAATGGAGCTGCAATGATGGCCACCAGTGAAAGATCTAGCCACGTGACTCAGGCTCCTTTATCCCATACACACACTAATGAAAAATTGATCCAAGCAATGTGAGTCCTTTGGAATCAGCATTTTCTCTGTTTTTGCAAAAGCTTAAATCTTAAACTAGGAGCAAGAAGTAGAATATTAACTGTCAGAATTTATTATAATCTAATTTGTTATTGCTAGTTCAACTCCCTTTTGGTGAACTCCATGTCAGGAATGGAGGGAGGGAGAGAGAGGATACAAGAATTGGATGCAAGGATCTACGTAGAAGAGACAAAGGTTGATATGGAAAAGATAAAATTTTCTTCTTGGACGTGAGTACTCTTACTGCAGTCCGGTAGCTTTTTGCTTCTGTGATGTTTTGCATTTCTGGGAAGGGGTACATTTTCTCTTTGCTTAGACTTGACACAAAGAACTTTTCTGTGGCCTGGAAGAGGTGTAGTTTTTGGAGGGTTATAAGCTGTCTCCTCTCATAAGGTCCAGGAAGCTAAAGCAGACAATCAGCCTGGCTGCTGACAGAGCAAAGAAATGATCAGATGGATGTTAACTTTCTTTCCTGTGACCTCCTCTGTCACACTTGTCATAAGCAGGCTGTGGTGAGGCTATGTGCGGAGCACAATCCTTAGGGCTTCCCTAGGCAGCACTTGCTACAGCCTTCCAAGACAGCTGCAGAAAGCACTTTAACTGGCACTGCAGAAATTTAAAACCTTCTGGGAAGAGAGTCTCCTCTTTGGGAGTTTTGTTTATCTCAATCTGCAAAAACTGCTCCAGTACTTGTAGGTGTAAAGCAATGTTTGAGAGCAGATTTTGCCACATACTGAAAAACTGTGTATGGGACAAGAAACTATGTTCACATCCTGAGCAGGCTTGTTTGACCTTAGGTTGTCAGTAGCAAACTGATATATTGTGCCAGAAAATCTGAGGATTTATGGCTGATGCAGCTTCCTCCAGGAGAGAAATTGGCTTTTCCCCAGCAGTTTGTGGTGGATCAGTAATATCTCACCTCAGATATCCTATTTGCTAGATGCTACAGTGGGGAAATTAAATTTGCTTGCTCCCTAGTAAAACTAAACTATTCACTGTAGCAATAAAAAGTATGTTTGAAATGCAAATCTCAAGGTTTGATCCTCACTAATGAGAGGAATATTAGGTACACAAATTCCTTCCATTAATTTTGCACTGATGAATAGACATAAACTGACATGTGGAAAAGACAGGTTGTTCAGTGCAGAGTACTACGAAGTTTTCTTCAAGAAGGTAAGTAGTGCAATTTATCCCTCCATAATATGCTATCTTAATTATGTGGTGCATATCCTGACCCAAGACTCCAGAAAACACACTTTCCTTTAAAAATCAGCATCTTTTTAGTATACAAAATATGCTTAGGTCATTGCTCATGGATGTGGGTAAGAACAAACCTCTGCAGAGATTTCACAGAAAGGTAATAAAAGGTAATAATACTTCCATTTGAGTTTTGTGCTCAGTAATACCATAAGTGAACAGCATCCTTTAGTTTTACCATGTGAACAGAAAAACACATAGGAAATTTCAGGAATAGTTACTTGAATGCTTCCAATAATTAATTTGCTCCATGACTAAGGATAGAAAAAGTTAAATTGCTTTTCTTTACAGAAGCACTACTAATACTATCTAGATTTTTCCTCCCATTTTTACTAGAGAAACTGTAAGAAACATGGCTAAAGCTACTCGATAGCAACAAGACTGCTTTGGAAAATCAGATATGTATTTCCAGGTGTCCAGGCACAGCTAAAGCTTCCAGGCCTCTGTACCCAGTCACTGGCTACCCTGCATGCATTCCACTGGTAGCACAAGAGAGCTCTCAACAATGTACATGATTGATGAAATAAGATGGAGAACATGCAAGGCTTGCAACAGCTCCTGCTAGTAATGATGTAAATCATAAGTGAGACTTTGATGAAGGTATTTTTGTATTTGTTAGGTTTAGATGAAGAGAATAATGGAAGAAAACATATTAAACACTGCAGAAAATATATTAAAAACAATCCAAAGAAAGCCTCCCCCCCCCAAACTCAAAGAAAACACACAAAATTTAGATTTTGACAAGCTGCACACAAAAGCATCCTTTCGTATAAGGAGCAGGAATCCTCATACTCCAATGTGACAGACGTTCTTGGTAAAACACAAAGTAAACCACAAACTTTCATGCTGCCATTAGCTCTCAGTAACAGCATTATAGTAGCTGCTGGGTGCTGCCCTCAATTCCATCACTTTGGTATTTTTCATATGAATTCACTAATTACCCTCTGTGGGAATACATTGTTGCTTGATTCACAAGCTTATGCAGCCTGTGAAAATGTTGCAATGGCTAGTGAGTGCCTTGGAAATTAAATTTCTTAAGATAATACAAATATCTGAGTCTGTGTGTGAAGCCATACAGCTAAGAAGTTTAAAATGAATAGCTGCTTCTTTAACACTTTCTCACCTGCCTACATGAAGTTAAATATGTCAGGATGAGAGGTAAAAATACATATGTCATTTCATGTTTCCTTCCCCAGCTGTAAAATGTGTGTTTTCAGGCACCTGTGAGGATGCCTGACTGTTTTATGCTCTCAGAAAATAAGAGCACTCTATAAAAAGAGAAGTGATTGTGCCAACTGAGATGATGTGACTATGTGTGGCTGAAAGGAGTTTCAAGAGACAGGGAAGAAACTTGTCACACATCTAGAGAGCTGGGTGTCCTTCATTGTGGTTGAAGCAGCGAGCAAAGTGAAAGACCAGGACTCAGAGAAAACGGAATGCTTTCTGTTTACCCAGAGTTTACACAGATCCAATGCAAAAGGCCAGGGCATGATCCGAAGCACTGTCACATAAGCAACAATGTTGCTTAAGTGCTATTGCCTTTCCTGGCATGATTTGATCTATGTCATCTAGCACACTCCCAAGCAACATATCAAGGATGCTGTTTGTTCAAAGACTGTGCTCCTACTATAATAAAAGGATGACGTTTCCCTTTTCAAGGCAGGAAGAAAAAAAAGTTTATTTCCCACATGGAAGAGTAAGATGTAAGGTGACCTAGCTGCTTGATGAAGGCCTAACCATTCCATCAGCTCCTGGTGGATGCTCTGGACCAGGAAAAGCAATTCTAATTACCAAAGACAGAAGAGTGAGTTCTCTTGTAGCTCATATATTCAAAAGTCTCTGCCTGACCCAACACATATGGCCCTAAAATTTCTGATTTAAAATCAGGTAGGCAAGGAAATTTAATACAGTAATATTAGACCTTTTTGCATTTTTTAAAATTAGTACTTGGAATTATTCATGGAAATATTTATTAGATGTTATAATTATTTTGGAAAATTGAACCGTTTGATTGAGACCGATGCGTTGCGTCCAGTTGCCAGAGGGAGACTAAAATTGCTTTGGTATTTCTTCTGTTATAGCTGAAAATGTTTTGGCAGGCATTTGGGAAAGGTGTTCTTGCCACAGGTTTTTGGTTCAGAAGTTCCCATTACAGCCATCTAATCTAATTTCCGGCAGCCACACAGCCTAAAATACTTTACGTGACTTTCTTTGCTTTTGTCAGGACCTGAATGCACTGGTGCCTGGCCCTGACCAATCTCACCTGGGGCCTTTCTCCAGGTGCACCCGTGGGCCAAAGAGCCCCTTTCATTCTCAGCCTGGGGCTGTAGTCCCATTGAGACTGCAGAAGTGCTGGTCTCAGCTGTGGCCTGTCAGATACTTGCATAGTCATCCTGATTTTCGGTCATCCTTGGTTGCCACCCTTGAGGCTTTCTTGCTTGTTTCACCCTGGGAACTGTGAGATGGAGCCCTGGAAGGTGAGACCTGTGTCTTGTTGTTCATGTTTTCATGCTTTGTCTTCAGATGCCTGTCCCTTAATGAGCAGACAGCCATTATTCTTATAATTTTCAGTCATATGCTTATAAATCATAATATAAATTGAATTTTCCTTGCAGTTATTGCAGAATAAATCAGAAGTAATCTAAAGAATATTATGTGATCTTCACCTCTACAAAATCACTATGTGCTCTACAGGAAGTCCCAGATGTCCAATTTTTCCTTGCTTGTGTAACTTTCTTGTCTAGTTACCACAGAACCTATTTCTCCCTTGGTACAAACACCTGAATGAGAGGATATGCATTATATTTTATGAACTAACTTTTAAAGGCTTTGATTTTTTTCATGCTGCATAGCACAGAGAAATAGAAAAGGAGGAAAAATGAGAACTTGGCATAAAATTCAAAGGTTGAGTAGAATTTTGAATCTTGCCTACAGGAGGTAAGAGTTGGTTGAGGAGCTCTGTGGCCAAGTTGAGAAATTGCGGAAGTGAGCAGATCGCACAGGGTTAGGGAAGATGAAAGAGAGCTTGACGAGATGACCAGCACAATCCTGCAGACACAAGCCCAAGTCATTCTCCCATCAGTGACACTTCTATTCCACTGACTCGCTTGCACAATCCATCTTTAGAGGTCCCTTCCAACCCAGACTGTTTTATGATTCTGCGATCATGAGGAAAAAACAGCAGCTGCCTTTACCAAAGCAAGCATGATTGTAACTGTCTAACATATTAGCACTTTATTGCATGGGGAGGGTTAGACTAGATACTAGGGAAAAAAATTCTTCATGGAATATGGGTTGTGAAGCATTGGAACACACTGACTGGGGGAGTGGTAGATTTACAATCCCTGGAAATGCTCAAAAGCCATCTGGATGTGGCGCCTAAGGACATGGTTTGGTGGTAAACATGGTGGTAGAGCTACCTTGAAGGCAGATGATCTTAAAGGTCTTTTCTAAACTTAACAATTCTATGATTTTATAGTACTTAATTTAATACTAACCTACTACTCCTAAATTTTAAAGGCTTGTATTGAATACAGGTAAGCTGCTTTGTGTGCATGGAGAAACTAATTATACTGCCTGTAAATCCCAAATCCCACTAAAGATACTTGATAGACTCATTACCAATCAAATGGATAATATTTAGCAGTATTTCATAGCAACTGTCCCAAACCTTACCATTATATATGCATTTACCTTCTATATCAACAAGAGTATTTTCTGCATACAATTCTTATTTGCATTGTTTGAGATAGGTAATAATCCTAAAACTAAATTGCCTGATTTAAAATATGAAAATGTGTGCTTGATGCTGCCAATATAATAGAATAAATGCATTCTTTCTACACCTTTGAAAATATCTCTTCAGCTGTTTCCTCTTCCATTGTACTTTTACATTTTAATGAGCCCTTAAAATCAATGGGCCATTAGAACAACTCTACAGACAGATGAGTTGGGCTGTTCCAAATAAGTACATCAGAGAATTTGCAAGTTTTTCTGTTAAACTGATTTGCATTCTTTATAAAAGGTTAGAAGAGTCTTCTTCAGTTAGTGATAGACATTTTCTGTGGGAAAGGCAACTAGGTTATTTGATGTTTTCCAGCTCTCAGGAGCTCTTTGCCTTCTGGTCGACTTCACACCTTCTCTCTGTCAGAATGCCAGATACTAGCAAGCAGTCACTGCTTCCAATCCCTGTTCTCAGGATAGTTTGCAATTCATGGGCTAGTTGTCTTCAAAAAAAGGCCAGGTTACACTTAGCTATTTCAGTTCTGCTGGAAATTAACTCTCTGTCATCATTCCATGTTAAGTAATAAATGGATTCTCAAGTAGCCTTGATTAGATTTGTTTTTTTTTAATTCAGAATTGCATGTATGTGGCTGAGATTTGTATGACTGCTCCTTCAGTATAACAGAAGTATCTTCCTGAACCAGCTGAAGTTACCTGTCTCCTGAGGAAGATGAGGTAAACTATGGGGTACCTCCTTAGAGGCTGGAACTTGCTAGAGAAACCAATGGCAAAGTATCCTCCAGCAGGAAAAGCAGTAGAAGGTTCTCTTTTCTCATCTTTTGCAGCAGCAAACAGATGACTGGAAAATCATAAGCACAAATACTCACTGCCCTTTCAGTCTCATACCCCATTTACATGCACCACTGGTGGTATGTGCAGTTAGGAAATGCAGCTCCAAGGATTTAGACTGAGTACTGGATGAGTTGCCTAATATGCTGCCAATACTGCAGCAGAGCAAATGCAGAACTGGTACCAGTGTGCCACCTTTTCACAACCAGATTTTACTGAATTTAGCTCAATTCTTACTCTGAGTGAGAAGTCTGCTGCCTCTTTTCACACTACATAGTAAAATCTAAGCATACATTTTTTATGAAGGACACAGGATAAATACTTGAAATTAACCACTTAGGAAGAAAAAAATATTTGCATGCTACATATCAGGAAAAATTGTGCAAAGATGAAAAAATGAAGTGATAAACATTTCCATTGCAGCTAGAAAACAATATAAAAAATTAAAATATGGCAATAAAATAACATGATTTTTAGTTCTTCAGTCTGAAATATGATGTACAATGTTTGTGAGGAAAAGGAAGTTTCACAATTTAAATGTATTTTTCTTTCACCAATTGAGTTACAAACAATGTTGAATAGGATTAGCTAAGAATTAACTAATTCTACTCAAATTATAACTTTAATATGTAAATTATGTATTTTCCTTAAATATATACATTTATTCCAGCTTGGGTTAATCTGTGAATCCTACCACCTTTTCTCTTAGCTCCACATTTTTTTTCTATCTTTTTTCTTCCTTAATTCTATTTTTCTTTTTTATTTATTACAGCTGTATTTTTTGCTGCAGGTTTTAGTTTCCTGACATGCTTAATTTTGTTAAAATAATGAGAACATATATATGTCAGACTAAACACAGCAAAAACTAGACACAGTCTGCATTTGCTTTTCATCTTTCCTATGTTTCATATATATCATAAGTATATATTAATAAAATATACATTTATATAGAGTATATCCACATGTAATTTTTATTTATCATATATGTTCCTTTTCAACACAAATAATTCTTATGGAAAAACATTACAAATGTGATCAGAACTGAATTGATGATTCAACAAATTAGGGAACAAATACCAGTTGAAAATACTTTTTTCTGCTTATGATTTATTTCTAATAGTGTCAAAAATTGATGGAAAGGCCCATCCCTTTTTACCAGCTGGAGTGGCTGGCTGACAGCTCAGCTTTGAGCTTTCCAGGCCCAAAGACTCAAGGGAATCTGAAAAATTACTGCCACAAACGGGATTTGGATGTTAGCTCCTCAAGACCAGTTTTCCCACTTGAAACCTTTTATGAATCCAATCTATATGCATAAGTTCTGTGTTTTGCTATTTTTTTGATGAAGAAGGAGAAGACTATCAGTTGTTCAGCTTCTAATTCTCAGAAGTTCAGGATTTTCACCTCTAGAACTTGCTAGACTAATTTGGAAGACTCCTAGAATAAGTATTATTTTAAAATTTGGCAAAAGAAATAGCTTGATTTTTTTTTTTTTTTTTAAACTGAGATATCAATGAGTTTCTCCTCTGTGGAAAATATTTTGATCATATATTTCTCAATTAGTTTTGTCAATAGTAGAGGAGTGATTATTTTCTTTCAGAAGAAAATTTTTGGACCTTGTCATGTATCCTTTACCCTCTGTGATCAACATCTCCGCAGTTCTAATTGATTCTTGGCTTTGATCTTAAAAGGCGCATTGGTTCAATAATTGATTTGTTCTCTGTGTCTACTTTCTGAATATCTGTGTGGCTCTGGATGAATTTTGATAAGCATTTAAAGGAGCAAAGTTTACTTGAAAAGAAGATCCTGAAATTAAAACTCCCATACCAAAAGATAAGCAAAATTGAGTTTTTAATGTATTCAAACAGGGTGTAAGGATAAGTTTCATATAAAAAATCTGAGGGAGATAGTAGCTAGGATAGATATCTAGTAAGAAACAATTTTAGCACTTCTAATTTCAGTCATGGCAAACAAGGGCTGTACGCTTGCCAGCTAATTATAGTATATGTATTTTGATAGAACTGATGGCTCAATTTTGATAACAAGGTAAAGAAAAAGAGATGGAAGATATTTTTGCTCTTCTGAGTATTGGGAAATATATTTAAAATCAATGTAAGCGGAAAGGATAAATTCAGACTTTTAATTCTAGGGGTTTTATTATATTTTAAGCGTTTTATAACTACACAGAAGAAAACATCATACTAATAGTTGCATTTCATCTTGGCCTCAAGAAGATGGTGGTTAATTGGGTAAAATAATATTAAATCAATAGGAAGGATAAAAAAAAAAAAAAGAAATTAACCAGAATTATTCAAGGGAGACTATTTTAAAGTGCTTGGAAATGATCCGTGTGAGTCAGGCATGCCTGAGGTCTACTCTCACTTCTTCTTTGATGACTGGATTCCAATAGTCAGAAAAGACAAAACAGGCAACTTTATGTACATACTCTCACACACACACACACACACACACACACACACACAGAGACATATATATATAATTACAAATTATCTATTTATGTTTATAAATATATGTTAAATAATAGAATCATAGATTATTTCAAGTTGGAAAGGACCTTAAGGGACATCTAATCCTACTCCTTGCAGGACAACCTACAAACAAATTAAGAGAGTCATCCACAGGTTGCTTGAACTTTGACAGGCTTGGTGCCATGACCACTTCTCTGCAGAGTCTGTTCCAGTGACAGACCACTCTCTCACTGAAGAACCTTTTCCTAATGTCCAATCTGAGCTTCCCCTGATGCAGCTTCATTCCCATTTCCTTCTGTCCTATCACTGGTCATCAGAGAGGAGATCAGCACCTTCTCCTCCACTGTCCCCCACTGAGAAAGTTTTACCCTGTGATGAGGTCAACCCCTTAGCCTTTTCTTTCCTAAGCTGAACAAGCCAAGACACCTCAGACACTCCTCTTAAGTCCTGACCTTGAAATCTTTCATCATCTTGGTCATCCTTCTCTGGACACATTCTGATAATTTGATGTCCTTCTTTCACTGGGCCACTCAAAACTGCACACAGTACCAGTGGCTGTGACTGCACCAGTGTGGAGTGGGAGAATCCTTCTCCATGCTGTGTTTGATGCACCCAAGTCACAGCTAGCCCACCCAGATGCCAGGTGACACTGCCAACTAACATTCAGCCATCAACAACTTGCCATCAACCACTGCTCCCCAGTTTCTTGTCCCTCAATTTTCATGAAGAACCAACATTATACTATCTTCAGTGGAGAATCTGGCACTTGCTTTTGTTAAATTTTGTTGTTGGCTGGTGATTTCCCATCTCTGTAGTCTATTCAGATCTCTCTGTAAGGTCTCCCTAACCTCAAGTGGATCTACAGCTCCTCCTAATTTAGTATCACTGGCAAACTTACTAAAAAGGCATTCTACTCCTGCATAAAGATAATTTTAAAAAAATAAAAATCACTGGCCCTAAAGCTGAACCCTAGAGAAGCCCATTAATGACTAGGCACCAGCCTGATATACTCTCATTTGCTATAACCTCTTTTAGCCAGGCTCTTAAGTCAATAGCTCATCCAGTATTTTATGGACTTGTCTAGCTGTATGCTGAAAAATTTGTCTACAAGGATATAAACAGTTACTGGAGGTTTCCAGCATATAAAATGTTTTATATATATATATATGTGTGTGTATATGTATATATGTATGTATATATATATGCACACACACACATACAAAAAGACTTACTGGGAATCTCTTCTTTTTAAAGATAATTAGATTTTCATGCTTATTTTATGCATCTTATGCTTATTTTCAGTTATAAGTACAGATAAGTTTGCACTGGACCATCTATTCATATTTTTCCCAATAAACTGAAGTAAATTTTGGCCAGAAGAGAAGAAATACATTTTGGGATGACTTCAGGGGATTTGCTCAGCACTGAGAATAAAAAAACTCTAAAATTCTTTTCTTTATGTATTGTGTCTAGTCCCTCTGTAAAGACTTCTGTTATTGAAAAACGATGGTTTCCATTTGGATCTCTCAGTAACTGTTCTGGGCAAGCTGAAGCAGGCAGCAGTTTAGCCTGGTAAGTGTCCTAGAAGTGGCAGAATGGCCTTGGTCCCATTGACTGTTCTGAACAGCAGAGCCTCATAAAGCCAGATTTGTTGCTGAGGGAGGTGTTGGACAGTCACAGTGAGCAGCAGGTAATTCTGGGGCCACAGTCAGGAGAACTAATTGTGTCTCTCAGCTCAAACTGCCCCAGGAGGTGATGAAATCTAGCTCTCCATCCCTTCTGCTGATCCCTGGAGCAATGCATCTAAAACATGCCATTGCTGCTGAAAATTTATGCTAGCTCTGATTCTCTCTTCTGTGACAGGATAATGTAGCAAGGGATTCAGAAATGTATCCCCTAAAAATAGCATCCTAATTAAATTTGCATGAAATATTTTGGCTTGTCTGAACAATGTTGTTGGATAGAAGGGAAGTGTTGCCAAACTTTAACCTAACAGAAAGAAAAAACTTCTCTGATGCAATCATTTCATAAAAGTTAAGAAGATGAGTGAAGCATTTACTTTAAAACAAATAACTTCAGTATCATCCCTTTTCTCATTATCTTGTGGTTGATATAGGAATTTCCTGGGTGAAGCAATACATTGAATTTTTGATATCTTCCAGCATTAGGCTGATAGTATCAATCCAGTCCTTCAAAGTTAGTGGGATAACTGCTTACAAATTAACTGCAGTGACACTTATCTTAGATTCATCTGAATGGATTTTGAGTTGAAAGAACATGTACATGATTATCATATAACCTAATTATTTTATTAACTTCAGGATTATTCTTGTTCAAAGACCAAAGCAATCTTTAGAATATCCTATGTCTGTTTATCATTATGCTAGCTCAGGAACCAGATAAATTACTTCAGGATTTTGGTAGGTTATATTTTATTGAAATTTAAGCTTAATTTCAGTACTAAGTATTGACTTAAGTATAATTTTTCTCAGAAAATTAGTTCTTATTCTATGCCTCCTAGTAATCTGGATGGCCAAAATATGGGTTATGAATGCATAAGACTCAGAATGTCTCTGCAATGGATACATAATGGATATGCCATGCATGTTTATATATAGACTCAAATAATCCATTGGGTTGGACAAGACCTTTAAGACCATAGAATCCAACCTCCAACCCAACATTGCCAAGTACAACACTAAACCATTTTCCTAAGTGACTCATCTATGTGTCTTTTAAATATCTCCAGGTAATTCAACGACTTCTCTGGGCAGCCTGCTTCAGTGATGGATAACCTGTTAGGTGAAGTCGTCATAATATCCAATCTAAACCTCTCCTGACATAACCGAAGGCCAGCTTGTCTTGTTTTCATCCTTTGTTCCCCACAGCAATAATTAAAGGAGATTTTCCATAACCATCCTTTTGTTGCAAATACATTTAAAAAAACTGTTTTTATTGGATTTTGGAGTTTTTTTGGTTTTGTTTTGAATTTTTTTCCTATTGGTCTTTGGTCCTTCTGATATTTCTCCCTACAGAATCACATGACATATTTGTAGTCCTCCTGAGGGGCTTTCCCCTTCTTCTAAAGGTCATAAACTCTCATTTTTTTCCTGAGTTTCAGGCAAATCTCTCAAATTCCATATAATCTCATCTTTCAACATATGAGGATGCTTCTGCACATTTAAGAATTCCTTGAAAAATTTCCAGCCTTTCTGTACTCCTTTGCCCCTTCAGGACTGGCTTTCAAGGGACTGTGTCAGCCAGGATCTGAAACAGGCTAAAGTCTGCCCTTGAGAAGTCCACATTAGCAGTTCTCCTTATTCCCCTCCTTACTTCTCCCTTCTTACTTCAAGAACTGAAAACTATAACTTCATGATCTCTATGCTCTAGGTGGCCTCCAGGCATCCCCACATCCTTCTCTCTTTGCAAACAGCAGGTCCATATTAGGAGAGCGCTTTCTGTACAGATGTTGCATTCTCTCTGTACGGGTTGAGAGGACTTGTCTGGAGTTTCAACACATCAGTTTGCTAGATTCCAAGCAGATTTTGAACACCTTTGGCAAAATACTCAATTTTCTCTCTCTCCAATATGAAGAGAAAATGGCCAGCAGGGTTAAAGACTAAACAAGCCCAGATCTCATGATCAGATGGGTTATGATCCTGTTCTATATGGGACTTTCTAAGTGCAATACCTAGGGAGAACAATTTCACCTCTTATTTCCTGTGCTGTATTTGAGGACTGGTTAGTATCTTTCATTCTGATGTGTTGTACTTCAGTGGGGTTTTGTCCACACATTTCACTTTCTAAAATATCAAAGCATGTTTTAAATTTAAAGTTACTGAAAGTTAAGGCACTTTGACAGCTTGAAGGTTGAGCTTATATGTAGGCAAAAATAAAGCTGCTTTTCACTTTCTCAGGTTTAACATCATAGCTTGCTTGAAAACGTACTGCCACTGAGAATTGTTCTCAAGCAGTCTTTGTTCTGTCAAAGCTTAGAAAGTTGGTAGAGAGAATATTCTTCTACCTTGGAATATTCAGTTCTTTGAAAAAAGATTGTACCTGTATCAGCTTCACCATAATCTCAAAGCACATTAGAGATAAAGGCCTTTTATGATCATTGATAGAATATCTCAATGAGAACAGGTTATTGGATTGCTTATAATTGTATACGCCTGTGTGCATTATTATAATATATTTTGATAAGGCACTTCATGATGTCTGAAGCTTCTTTTTTTAAGATGCAGTAAATCTTACTTTCCAAAGAGGACTTAGACTAGTTGGTTTAAAACAAGAAGCCATTAAGAATGACAAAGTATACTTTATCTATAGGAAAGTAAGAACTGTCCTGTGTGAATTTAAAACTAAGTCAGTTAAGAGCATTTCTCTTTTCAGCATGTCACTGACTTCATATGACCTATTAATTCTGGCTATCACAAAGACAGCTAGAATGAGGTGTGGCAATTTGAGCAAAATCAAAATTCATTTCCCTTCAATAATACAGGATATAAGCTTAATTGCTGTCAGATTGTTGCATATGTAGCAAGGGAGAAGCAGAATCCCCCTGATTAGAAAAGTCACAGAATGGGTATTTGATTGCTTGTATTACTGTAAACTTAATTATTTTTCTGTAAATTACTCATGTTTCATCCACTATAAATAAACTTATTTTTCAATGTGATTTTGCTGCTAGATAACAACTAAAACATGTTTTTTTCCAACTCCTTTGACTTTAGCATGCATTTTGTTGCATTTGATGTTGTTTTTCTAAAGCCTTATCTCCTCAAGATATAAGATTGCTGAGCAACCTTAGCTTTCCTTATGAAAAATGTGAATGCTTAGATTTCATAGTTGTAGAGGGAAAGCTTGAAAATGAGAAGACTAAGCTTATAAACCATCCAGTCTAATAAAAAAAATCTAAAATATATTATTTTTTAAAATCTCATTTAAATGAGCCTCATTACTTCAGGTTGGGTTGGAAGGGGAAGAAAAAAAGGAAGGATGGTGAATGTAAGACCTTTATAACACTGAAAATATAGGCACAATTTTAAAAGAGCTTCATACTCAGCTTTCTTTCCTGATGTTTCTGACACATTGCTGATATACTCACTGTTTTTGAGGTGATCTTCAACAGCAAAAAAATCTGCGCAAAAACCTTATGAATTTTTGATCACAGATAGCCTTTGGCTGCTGAAGAATTGCTTTCTAGAATATTTCTAATGGCTTAAACAGAATTTAAGAGCTTTCTGCAAAAAATCTTTCTGCTTTCTACATAAGAAAGCCCTGGTGAGGACTTAGCTGGAGCACTTTGATCAGTTCTGGGCTCCTCAGTACAAGAGAGACATGGAGCTCCTGGAGCGGGTCCAGCAGAGGTCAAAGATGATGTAGGAGCAGGAGCACCTCACTTAGGAGAAAAGGCTGAGGGAGCTGGGACTGTTTAGCCTAGAGTAAAGATGACTGAGAGGGGACCACATCAATAAATATCTGAAGGGAGGGGGTCTAGAGGATGGAACCAGGCTCTTCTCAGTAGTACTGAGTAACAGCTGAAGAGGCAATGGCAGAAACTGTAACACGGGAAGTTCCACCTGACCATGAGGAAGAACTTCTTTACTGTCAGAGTGACTGAGCACTACAACACATTGCCCAGAAAGATTGTGAGGTCTCCTTCTCCAGAGAGATCCAAAGGCTGTCTGGACACAATCATGAGTAGCATGCTTAAGCAGGGAGGTTGTACTAGATGACCTCCATTGGTCCCTTCCAACCATTCTGTGAGTCTGTGAAAATCTCTGGCCTTGAGATCTAAAGCAGAAAAAAACACTGTTCTTTTTCATGACACCCATTGTAAAATCGAAGTCTACACTGAGTACGAGAATGGTTACAGCACATTGAGTAATGAGGTATAAAAGGGATAACTTTCTCTTTTAATTACCTTGGCTGTTCATATTAAATGCAGAGCTCATGAAAGCCCCAGATTCTCCCACAGAGAGTTCAGACCTTACTATTTATTGAGATTCTAGTCCTGAAAGGTGCAAAGCAGTGGTGCTGAGGATGCTTGGTTACATTGGTTGGTACTTTGTATTTTAAGCAGTAAAGATCAGCAACATAAACTTTTCTATATTACTTCTCATTTACCCAAGCTGGAACTTTCAACTTTTGATTGGACAAGGTCATTCTAGAATGATTTTACATACAGTTCCTCTATATTCTCTTGTTTATTACTCTTGTCTGCCAGCAGGTGTTCTGTGACAATCTAGTCTCAGCTATTAAAGATGAACAGTACCTGTGTTAGAAATGAAACCAAGTGTAGCATTACATTTCATATACTGTTTGCTGGCAATGGCATAATGAAAACAGAGAAATCACTATTAAGAAAAAGAAAAATAACAGCCAGAAGTTATTTAATACTTATAGAAGATTCTTACAAAGCAAAATTTTTTCAACATGCTCATTTCTATGAAAAAAAAAAAAAAGCCACAAAACCCTGTAAGAAACAAACAAGAAAGCAGCACACTGAAACACAAAATGAAGAAGAAACAGTACTCTGTCAAAGATCTGGCCTGACAGCCCACAGCTCTGGGGTGTTCTATTTTTGGATCATGTTAAGAGCTACTCCTTGACCAGTTGCTTATTTTCAATATGATTCAGTACTCTGGACATTAATTAGTAGTGTAAAAATATTGATAAATCACTCTAGCTATTTAAATACAATTTTCATCAGAAGTATTATTCACTTTGTTTGATTTATTCAATTTCAGAATAGTACAGTGATTCTGTATATTAATTGTGAATAATGGCTGCCATAATATCTCGGATGATTTCGCACTAAGTATTTGCTACACTCTAACCCCCTACTATAGGTAGTGATCAAATTCATAAGGAGATGAGCAATAAATTTTGGTGCAATTTCTAAATCACAAAACTGTTAAGGGAATTGGGCTAAATTTGGCAGCCCAGGGAAGCAATGCTGCATTCCCCCAGTTCCCACCTGCTTGCAGGGTTGTATATGTATTGCCAGTAGGTGCATTCCCAGAGTATCATGTACAACACAATCTTATAGAATTAGAGAATCACAGAATGTTTTGGGTTTGAAAGGACCTCTAAAGATCACCTTGGTCCAACCTCTCTGACATGGGCAAGGACATCTTTCAATGGATCAGATTGCTTAAAGCCTTTTCCAACCTAATCTTGAACACTTTTTATGATGGGGCATCCACAGTTTCTCCGGGCCACCTATCCCAGTGCCTCAACTCCCTCCTAGTAAAGAATGTCTTCTTATATCCAGTTTAAATCTATTCGTTTTCTGTTTAACACCACTACCTCTTGTCCTAGAGGCCTTAGTAAAAAGTCTCTCTCCATCATTCTTATAAGTCCCCTTTAAGTATTGAAAGGCCACAATCTCTATTGTTCTCCTAGACTTTCCTCATAAGAGAGGTATTTCAGCCCTCTGATCATCTTCATTACCCTATCCTGGACTTGCTCCAGTAGGCTCCTGTTGTTGTGCTGAGGATGCCAGAGCTGGATGCTGTACTCCAAATGGGACCTTGTAAGAGAAAAGAGAGGGAGAATCACCTCCTTCACTGCTGCTGGCCATGCTTCTTCTTGCACAGCCCAAGGTACAGTGGCTGTAACAAGCCAGATTCAAGGACTGAAAATTTACCCAGAGGTATAAACTGGAAAAAGAACAAGATTGAAAATGAATGTTTGATCATTTGTCTCCTTGTATAATGTTTCAGTTGCCTCCTATCTGTATACCATATACTGGTTAATCAATTAGTTGGTTTAGTAATGTTAAACAATTCAGAAAGCTTTGGTGCATTCACAACAAAAAGGAAATTATTTACCCTAAAAATCTTTGATCAGTTGTTTGGCTTTGATTGGAGGAGTTTATCTTTGTTTTGCTTGAACAT